GATGGGCGTGGCGGGGAAGTGCAGGGCCGAGGATGGGTGGGGACTCCGCGCAATGCCTGTGGACAGACGGTCCCCAAACTCTCATGATGCCCAGTCTGGGTGGAACTTTAGGCTATCCTCCTGCCTCAGCTAAAGGTATGCCACAGAGGCTCCCCGGCAGAGCAGGGTGAGTGCAGCTCTGTGGCCAACGGTCTTTTTCACAAAGAACCAGGCAGTAAGCCCTGAGAAAGGACAGAAAGGACAATACAGGGCCTGGGTGCAGTGCGCAGAGCACTCCCCAGCTCCCCAGCACACACGGTGGCCCCAGGCACATCCCCAGCACTCACAACGCTGTGGCAGGAGGATTGCTGTGAGTTCCAGGCCAGTCTTGGCTACAAAGTGAGGTGTTGCCTGGTTACAACTAAATGTCCAAGTTCTTAAAAATATAATTTAAATATATTTTAGCTAACGCATAAGGGCATCTTCTTCCACTTTCCCTTCAGTCCCAACAATTACCCTCATTTGAAACACAGCTATGTGACCCCTCTATTCTGAAATTGATAGCCAAAAGTCTAGCAAAGCAGAATAAATCCAGCTACATGTATGTATTAATTTTACATAAATATTTTAATAAGTGTCTATAGTTTTATGTTGTGATATATGCAAAGTTTATGAGTCATTTGAATCGTTTTTGCTTCTAATATACAAGTGAGTTATTAGAACAAAATTAAATGTGAATTTAGAGAAGTCCATATTTAAATGTCCAATTCTTGTTTGTTTGTTTTTTTGTTTTTCGAGACAGGGTTTCTCTGTGTAGTCCTGGCTGTCCTGGAACTCTGCAGACCAGGCTGGCCTCGAACTCAGAAATCCACCTGCCTCTGCCTCCCAAGTGCTGGGATTACAGGCGTGCGCCACCACCGCCCGGCTCCTAAATGTCCAATTTTATAATCTCCACTATTTTCACAACATTATGCTGTGACAACTGCCCCACCCCCTTCCAGGCCTCCCATGAATTCACTTCCTGTCACAGAGCACACACTGTGAAATACAACCTACAAGCCTCCAGGCTGGAATGTCAGAGCCTTGCTCCTGTGCACAGCTCTGTAATACTCCAGTGTCATCAGGGCATCACTAACTCCTCTCTCCACAGTGGTCGCCCCACCCCTGTCCCCATCCCAGGGTAGAGGGTCGCATGACCGTGTCTCTACCCTCACAGGGCTCTATCAGGGTCACAGCGTACGGCCTCCCTGGCATGCATACAGTCGGAGTTAATGAACTAGCCACTTGGGGTCAGGCACCAATCACATTTTTATGTCACTCTGCAGGTGACACTTGGTGCTCCCACAGGCCGCGTCACCCAGGGCCGGCCATCTCCACCATACCACAGTAGCTTTTTTCCTGGCTGGAAGGCTCAGCAGTGGGACCAATGCTCAGAAACCTACAGCACTTTGGTGGCTCTGCTGGTGGCAATCAGGACACTCACCGCTGTGTACCGCGATGACCGGCCTGTGGTGCTGCGTGAAGCTGGAGAGCCGGGGGGAGTCCTGGGGGGACGGGCTGTTGAACGGAGATTTGTCCATCTCTGTCTTCTTCACTGGGGATGAGATGCCTGTGGGGAGGGGACCCAAGTCTCCATCTCTGAGGGGCAGCAAGTGATATCACACACACCCCCAAGCCCAAGGCTGTACTGGGAATGTTGTGGGGGACACTCAGAAAGTCCTCCAGTGGCTCAGGAGAGCACATGGGGAAATAACACACAGCCACAAACAGGAGAGAGGCCCTGACCTGTCTTCAAGGCGGGACCCCTTCTGTTCCCCATGCCCTGAGGACACTGATGCTGGGGTGGACAACAGTCCCTACCTCACTGGCTCAGACTAGTCTCCAACTCATTGCAATCCTCCTGCCCCAGCTGCTCAAGTGCTGGGGTACCAACTGCAGTCTGCATCTGCTGTCTCTGCCCTTATGTCAGCCAACACCCATCACAGGCTGTGAGGGAACGGACAGCCGTGGACACCTGCCTCCCTTGGGGTGACACGGGAGGACTACAAGGGATGAGGTCAGACTCTCTAGGAGCAGCACCCAGTGTGGCCACAGCGCCTCACTGTGGCTGTCAGTCCTCCTGACCTCATCAGTCAGATGTCTTACCCAGGGTCCCCCAGGGCAGCATCAGCTCGTGTGAGAGACAGCCCTTCCTGTCTAGACTGTCCCCATTACAGGCTCATTAAGGCCACTAAGCAGATTAGGGCAGCCTGTCTGTGTCCAGCCTTTGGCGCCAAGCGAGGTCCTCAGAGGCCCAACGTGCCCCGCCCCCACCGGCCAGGCCTCAGTTTCCCCCATCTACATCCTAGCCTGTGGAAAACTCTGGGCTCTCCTGTCCCTGCCCTGGACACTGACTAGGACCAGAGACTTTGCTCCCCTGGCAGGGGGTCTCATAGCACCTAGGGGTGGAGCTGGGGTTTGCGGTTGACTAGACCCCTTCCCACCTGCGATGCTTCAAGAATGGCCATGGGGTATTGCAAACGGAGAAACGAAGGCTTCAGCGGCTGGCGTGACCAAAAGGCTGCCAGGCTGGGCTCGATGACTCCCGTGGGCTGCGATCTCAGGGGTGTACAGATGCAGCTCTGAGATGCCCAGGATTCGGGGGGCATCTGGAACCAAGTGCTGTGGGGATGCCTCATTTCCGGACTTGGCTACAGGACAAGTCCCAGGAGGCCCTACGACTCGGGTCTGCTTCTTTTTTTGTGTTTGTTTTTGTTTTTTCGAGACAGGGTTTCTCTGTGTAGCCCTGGCTGTCCTGGAACTCACTCTGTAGACCAGGCTGGCCTCGAACTCAGAAATCCGCCTGCCTCTGCCTCCCAAGTGCTGGGATTAAAGGCGCGCGCCACCGCTCCCCTGCTTCTTACTTATGGTACCTGCAGTGTTCAGGCTGGAATATCTAGTTCACAGTAAAGTAACATACGGCTGGACTACAACTCCCAGGAGGCCTTGCAACACTAGCCTAGCTCCCGCCCGGTGCGCCTCTGGTCCTACCTCCTTCCATGTCTTCCGTCCAGTTGCGGCTGCTACTCGTGGGCGAGTTAGGCGACGTGTAGTAGTCGCCGCCGGGGCTCGTGTCCACGTCCTCCTCCATCGAGCCTGACTTGTGCCGCTTGCTCCTGGAGGGGGTGAGGTTAACAGTCCAGTTTCCACGGAGATGGTGGAGGAGCTGGCTAACTTCCGGTTCGTAGGGAGAGTTATGGAGTCATCCCAGGACCGCATCCTATCAATTACCCTTTGCCAGACACCAGGGGCAGAAGCGAGAGACACCCCAGTGTCTTTGCAGGGTGTCATATAGGAAGCAGACACATCACGTGATCCGCTCTCTGTCCTACAGATCTCCAGAGAAACTTGTTGGACTCAGTGGCCTACCAGGGCTCGGGGAACGGGCACTAAGACTCGAGTTTTGATGGATAAATAGTTTATCAGCCCACTTGTAAAGTAAAGACAGGTATTGCAGACAGAACAGTGGGTCAGCTAAAGTGAGAAGAGGAGGTGGGGAAGCTGAGACCCAGATGCACCCAGCGGGGTAACCTTGGCACCTACCCACTGGAGGAGGTGCTGGGTAGAGTCCTTCTCATGCCGGCGCTGGCCGGGTTCAGGTCGTATGCCAGGTGGCCCTGCAGCTCTCCCAGGGAGAAGTTGGGTCCGGTTCCGGTCACCACAGGCGCTGGAGAAGGAGATGGATCCCATGAGGGGGGAGGGCGGAGCCCCGTGGCCCCATGTGACCAACCCAACTTTGGAACGGAGGGGCCGAGGGCGGGGACACTCACTCCGAGACACCTGGATCAGCTCAGTGACACTGAACACGCCTGACGTGACGAAGCTCTCTTGGAAGTCTGTGGTGTCTGGAAAGCGCGCGGGGTCAGAGGTCAGTAGGCCAAGATAGCCGCCTCTTTTCTCCGTGGTGCCCCTGCAGCCAGGGTGACGCCCCACGAGGAGCCTGCAACCCCTTACCCCAGCCGAGCCCGACGGTCACGTGATACCCACTGCTGAGCCCATGCCCAGCTGTCACGTGGATGATCGTGTCCCCACGCTGGCAGCAAGGCTTCTACCGCCGGGCTGCTGGGCTCTGCGCCCTATGCTGTGGTGGGGACGAGCTGTCAGTGCCCCGTGGCGGGAAGTAGCCACGATGGAGAACTACGAGCCTCGAGCAGCATCACCGACTTGGGGGATGGTCTGTGGGGATGGTTGCTCTTTTGGACATAGACTTGGTATGAAGGAAGATTCTGGAACTACCTACTGCGCTTCACTGCGGGTGGGGGCGGGTGCAGGCTGGACCCGACCACAGCGAGACGCCATGGCTCGGTCAGTACTAGGCCCAGGGGTGCAAATGCAGTCCCCAGGGCTGAGCCGGCAGCAGAGCGCACACAGGGCTGAGCAGCAGTGGGACCAGCCCCCAGGGGGCAGCACAGTCCACAAGCACTGAGTACCGCCCTTGTGGCTGGGGTGGGCCTGCTGTGCCCAATGGAAGTGTCCCGCCCGTTTCCTGCTGACCCAAATGGTGGCGGAAGGGGGGGAATTTCCTGTTTGTACAGCGCCCACCAGGCCCGTGTCCAAAGGCAAGGGAGCCCTGACCACTGGGATCCTCCCTTGGGGCCCACCTTCTTCCACCATCTGGTTGAAAGGGAGGAGGCAGGAAGAGGCCCAGGAGGACCCAGGGTCATGGCCGGGGTCACGAGCCTCCTGGCACAGCCCGGCTGCAGGCCTCAGGCCTGTGCCTCTCCCTTCCAAGCCCAGTAAATGGCTTCCTGCGCTTCCCTGCTCTCCCCTCCCCCGAAAACCTGTGTTTGCAACAAAGGCCCATGATGTAAGCAAACCACTGTCCAACCACCAGGGAGATCCGAGCCAAGGGCCCCCCCCCCCCCGCCCCTGCAAAGGAAGCAGGACCCCTCCGACCCCTCTTTTGGAGATTCTAGGCAGAGATCCACCTTGACCACGCCCCCAGCCCCTCACTGGGGAAGTCTAGGTGGGGCTCTGTTCCTGACCACGCCCCCTAGCTGGGGGATTCTAGGTGGGGCTCGATGCTGATCACGCCCCTAGACCTCTCCTGGGGGGCATCTTAGGCAGAGGTCCACTACTGGAGACACCCCATCCCCTACTGGGGGATTCTAGGCAGGGTTCCACCCTGGCCATGCCCCTCCCCACCCACTACTTAGACACTCCCACTATTTAGTTCAGGCTACCCTTTTAAGTCACAATCCTCCTGCCTCAGCTCTAGCTGACTCACCCAGCGTGATGGGCTTGCTGTCCTCCTGGTCTGAGCCCACTCCTGTCCGGGGGCTGCTGCTCTGCTCTGCTTCTGCCAAGAGAGGAGGGGACAATTGGTGACACTGCAGGGATCTCTGATCCTAGTCCTGCCATTTCTGTGCTGTGTGGACTTCAGTAAGTGACCCCTGTGGGCATCAGCTGTCTGCGTATATTACAGATGGGGGGACTGAGGACCATAGAGAGAATCTGGAGGCCTCTGGTCCCCTTTCCTCCCTGACCCCCACCCCATCCTTCTATCGTGAGGAAGGACGTAGCCCAGGTTGGCTCCAAGCTCCCTTTGCACTAGGACGTCCTGACTATCCTCCGTGCACTCCCCACTTTCAGTGCTGGGCTGCCACATAGGTGGTGGGGCTTCCTAAGTCGGGCCTGAGGGGTTTCCAGGCTCAGTGTCAAGAGTCACCTTGGCTCTCCCCTGCACTTGTCCTCCATTTTATGTGAAAATACTTCCCTCCCTGGCTGACACTGTGATCTGCTGTGGTGTGTGTGTGGGGGAGTGAGTAGGGGAGGACGAGGGGTATAGTCTGACCCTGGGCCGCAGTGTCCCCGAGAGGGGCACAAAGGATTAGCAGGACCTCCTGGCTGGAGACTTCTGGGAAGGTCCCAGCTCCTGTATGTAGCCTCAGATACGGGGGTGGGAGTTGGGGGATGTTGACTAAAAACTCGCTGACCCTAAATCCCAAGGACACTGTTATAAGTGGGCCCAGAGGTCAAGGATTCATTCACAGAATCCCTCCTAAAATTCTGAAAGTGAATCATGGCCGCAGGCTGGTTAAGTACTACACACCCTGCTCCTCCTCCCAGGCAGGACTCCGCCCCTGACCACGCCCCAGGAAGCCTAGGTGGCGCTGGCTGGCAGGTGTGGGTTTGTGTGTTGCTGCGGCTCCCTGGCTTTCCCAGTCCACTTTGCTCATGAACGGCCCGTGGTGTCCCCTCCCCCGGGGCCTCCCAGTCTGTTCACACAGAGCATGGGCAGCTACTGCCATGTCCTTCCCCAGTGGCTGGGACACAGGAGACCTGGGTTGGTGAGGGGACATGCGAGTGGCCAGCAGTGAAGGACATCTGGGGATGCCAGAGCAGCTTCTCTTCCGCAGCTGTGACCTGACTGTCATTTCTCAAGGCCTCTGAGGCCGTCATGTGACGCTGATGGGCCTGGCCAGGGCAGGTGCATTAGGGATGGTCACGTGACCATGCACCCCATTTCTACGTTCGTCTCTAAAAATGGGGGCTCAGCTCTGCACTCAAGATGCAGCAAGGAGGGGTAACACGCTGCGTGGAGCACTGAGCCTCTGGGACTAGTTAGGACGGCACTGAAGCATCCTGCATCCAGCAGTCAGCTGTAGTGCTCCCTGCAGCCTGACTGTGCCTGCCGGCTGCGGGAGCACAAGCCTCGTCCTGTCCAGAGAGCCTGGAAATCCCCTTCCTCCTCCCACGCATGTCTGGTTCAGTTCCAACCTGCTACGGACCCTGATCCACTGACCCACCCTGCCCCTGTGTCTCTGCGAGTCTGGCATAAGAATGTGCGTCTGTTCACTCTGAACACATCTGATGCCTGCTGTATACACACGGGCCTTGTCCCAGGCACCTACAACCAAATGCCAGTCGAGACTACAGGGTTCTAATCATGGACTTCTTCCCAGGAAATCTCCAGGAGACACAGAATGAAGGCTGGACTGGAGGTGGACTTTCCTGTTGATGTCATAGGCGTGTAGTGACACAAACAGCCACCCTCCACCCACCCACAGAAACTAACATCAGCCTGGCAGTGCTGTGTGACTTCAGGAAGAGCACTTGACAGTGCTTAAAACGCCCGCCAATCCACTGTTGAATAAATAAAAGCGGTAGCCAAACAGATGGACACAGCAGACACTCGGGGAGCCCTGGGTATGTGGAGGCGGGGCTGAACTCTCCATCTGGCTGGTGCTTTCCAGCTACAGTGGGCCTGGGCCAGAGCCAACTGGTTCTCCTGGCCAAGTCCTCCCGGGGGACCCCTGGCACCAACAACCCCACCCAACCACCCCGCGGCCGTGGCTGATGGCCGAGCTCAGGGACCCCGAGGGGACATCCAGGCCTGGTCACTCCGTGCATGTGGCTGGGGAGGCAGCGAGGCACAGGGCTGGTGGACAGGCCACATGGCCGGTGACATCACTAACTGGGCAGCCATTTCCTCGGGTTCCAGATGCTGCCGTGGCCTGGACGGCCATTTTGTGGCTGGGAAGGGCCAGCCGGTACAGGCAGGGACACAATGTCAACCCCTCTCCAAGTGGGGGAGACCAGGACAGGGATCCCTCTCTAGGGCATGGTGGCCTGCTCAGTGGCCTCCAAGGATAAGCGAAAGGCACCAAGCTGGGGCATGGGGCCAGGTGGCCATGGCCACCCTTGACCTGGCAGTGACACCAAGGCCCTGTCACCTGGGTGGCTCCTGGGCTTTGAGACTGGAGGTTAAAAATACCAGGCGGACCCTGGTCCTTTCCAAAGTCAAATGTGTCACCCGCCAGCGGGAAAAGCTGAAAATAACCCGTGTTTACACTCCGCAGATTTTTGGGTTTCTTGGCCAGTCCCAGGAATCTATCTGTGGCCGCAAGGGGGACAGCCAGGCCAAAGCCCCAGGACATCCAAAGCCATGCAGGGGAACTCGGGTCCTCCCGTCCCCCCTTCCCTGTCTTCAAGGCCTGTGGGGTTAGCAGCCTGGGCTGGGAGGTGGGGGGGGGACAGGCCCTATGCTGGGTGGCTCCTGGCCAGCTGGGCCGTCTCGGAACTAGGTAGACTCCGGATGACCCTCCCTGTCTGTGTCACGGCTTCCCATGCCGGAGGAGGGACACACCATCGCATTCACCCTCCTCCGCGGAGGGTGCTAGTGCTCGCTGCTGCATTATGGGTGGACATGGAACAGGTCTTCTACAAACACTTGCAGGGCCAGGAAACCCGGAGGAACCAAGTAAGAGTGACAGGATGGAAAGGGGTGGGGCCAGACAAGCCCCACCTACCCTGGTCTCCAGTGTCTGCTGGACGGGCGACTAGGAGTTTGCTGAGCCATGACCCTAGCACCCTCACTAGGGGATTACAGGCAGGGCTCCATCCCTAGACCACGCCCCCGAGCCCGGGGCGGGGGGGGGGGGGGAGCCCTTCAGGTCACTGCAGAAGTGCAGCTGAGGGGCTGGCTTCCCCTGGGGTTGCATGACCCAGGTAACACAGAGCCCCGGTCTGTGGAGCTGGTGGGGGTTGGGGGCCACACCTGGGGAATCTGAATGATCCCTTTCTGAGTCCCTCTCTGGTTTTCCTTGGGCCTCGGTTTCCCAGCTGTCAGAGCGGCTGAGATGTGGTTTTATGTAGCTCAGGGGCCAATTAGCAGGAACCGGGCTTGGAGCTCGGCCCCGCGCCCACGGTCGGCCGGGCGTGTCCTGGGTTCGAGTGTGAATCCTCCGGTTCCCGCTGGCCTCCTGTCAGCTAAGCTCCAAGTTGGTACCAGATGGGGAAACTGAGGGAGGCCAGGGTCGGCGTCCTCCACAGCAGCCTCGGGGCGCCTGTGAGCACTGAGTGGGCCCCTCCCTCCTGGCCAGCTTTCCTTCATCACATCCTTGAGTGAAACTGGCGTGAGGTGGGTTTTGGGAGACAGTGGTGACCGTTCCCTCCCCTGGGGGTCAGAGGTCACCCACGGGGTCCACCTTGCCTTGAGCTCCCCCAGGTCGGCCTTTGCAGGGAACCAGGAGTTGAACTCAGGTCTCGGTGCTTGCAGGAAGTCGCCTCCGCACCCTGATCTCTCTGCTATCCACCGCCTCCCACGTGCTCCACCCTCATGAGGCTTTTTTCTGTGGCTCTTGGCGGAGTCAACAGGGCCTTGCACACAGTAGGCGCTTAGTAGTGGCTCGCTGCCCGCGGCTTTGTTGGCCCGAGTCCAGCCTCCACCCCTTCGTACGTCACAACCCGCCGCCCTCCCCAGGCTGACTGGTGAGGCCGTCGCCTCTCACAGGTTGGGAAACTGAGGCTGGAAGGGACGTCTGAGCTCGTCACCGGAGCGCGTGGACGGGCCGCGGAGGGGGCGGGGCGCAGCCCGGACGCGGCCCCTTTAAGCCCCTCCCCCACGCGCCGCGCCTCCTTATGTAATTGTTGTCCTTGCATAACCCGGTTACATAAGGAAGCCGGGCCGGCGGCTCCATCCGGCAGGGACCGGCGCGCACTGCGGGCCGGCCGGCGGCTGCCACGGCTGGGGCTCACCCCTCGATGGCTCCCACCAGGGGACCCCACTGCTTCCCGCCCTCACCCCGCCGTCGGCCCCCACCTGGGCACACCCCGCCCCCACAATCCCCTGCAACCTCGCAGCAGCCAGGAAAAGTGACCAGTTTCAAACCTAGCGCAGAATCTAGGTCCTGTTCCCATTACTCAGACGCGAAACTGAGTCGCAGAGAGAGCGAACTCGCAGCGCGAGGCTGCGCAGCGCAGCGCTGACCACGGATCAGGAGGACCCTGGGGCACAGCGACGGTCCTGCACACAGCCTCCGTGCTCTCTGCTGCACCTACCTTAGCAGGGCCCAGTATGCAGAAGGCACTCAATAAATGCAGCCCTTGTGGCCATACATCTACTGACCTTTTAGGCCTTGACTCTGCATTCCAAAGAAGGGGCATTTTAATGTTTCCTCTGGTTCTCTGTGAAAAGGGGGCAAGGCTGCTTCCTGCAGGGTAAACTGAGGCAAAAAGAAAGGGAAGCCTCAGCCTGCTTTACGCAGCATGCCTGCGCAACGGGATACAGCCTGCGCAACGGGATACAGCAGGTGGCCTATCACTGCACGGAACCTGGCCCCACTGTCCCCCTCCCCGGGGACCCCATGAGTCTCGGGTGAGGGGGTCGGGTCCATTGAGCCTCTGGGCTTCTGTCCTGAGTCTGGCCCTTTAAGGCTGTCTGAGGCTTGGGTCTGTCCCAGAGTGACCCCAGGGGAGGGTGTGGCCGGGAACAAGGGGCCCATTCAGTCGTGGTGGTGGGGGCGGGGCGGGCGGGCGGGGCCGGTGGGGAGTGGGGAGGGAGGACTCCTGGAGCGGGGCGGCCGGGACCCCGCCCCCGCGCCTCCCCGACCCCCGTCGCTGGGCTCAGGCCCACGGGGAGCGGGGCTCCCCGACTGCAGGTCCTGCCCAGTCTCAGCCCTTAGTGTGACGCGAATGTGTCATCTGAGGCAGTATAGGCACTCAGCAGTACAGGAAGGTGACCCCCTGCCGCAGGCCTCCCCTCAGCAGAGGCGGAACAGAACTTGTCCCAGAACCTTCTAGAACCTGGGGCTCCGCAAGTTCCCAGCCCCACCACGGGCTTCTGGAAAGCTTCTTCCGGGTTCTCCCTCTGCTTAGGAAGCTGAGGCAGGGGACTGATTTGAATCCCTATGAAATGAGAACCGAACAGGTTCTTGAGGCAGGAGGATGAGGAAGCTGAGGCATCCTCAGCTAAGTAGCATGTTTGAGTCTAGCCTGGGCTACATAAGATCTGGTCTTGAAACTCAAACAAGGCCAGATGGAAGGGCACTGGCTCGCTCTCGGGGCCTCGGTTTCCTTGACTGGTCAGGACACCCCATGTCTCCAGAGTCTGCCCACCCCACAGCAGAGCCCCACCCGCCGGTGACTTCAGGCCCAGGCAGCGGAAGGGCAGCGGGGCTGCTGTCTGAGGGAACGAATGGAGATGTCCTGAGCTGCCCCCGGCCAGTCCCGGGCACGGGGCCAGGGCGCCAACTGTGGGCACACAGGTGCAGGGGGATGGCGTCCACTGCTGACCCCCAGAACACGGGCGCCCCAGGGTGACCCCGTCTCCCACACTCCGAGCACATGCGTTGCCACAGGAACGACGGTATTCGACACCTTTCTGCACTTTAGCAGAGGAAATGGCAGAGACCAGAGACGGTCAGGTTTCCCGGCTGCACAGCCTGCGGGTGGAGCCCCGTGCCCTAGCCTCTTACCAGTCCCATTCAAACCCGCCCCCTCCCCACCCTGGCAGGCCTGGACCCTGGAGAAGCCGAGAGCCGGCCAGCCACGTGCCCAGGACCGAGGGTCAGCAAGCGACACCACAGCTGCCCAGCGGTGTCTGCAGCCACTACAATCCCAGCAGACATGCATGGCCGTGGGGCCCCTAGTCCCGATGGGGAAACAGGCTCGAGGATGCTGAGCAGACAGTGGGCCCTCGCTCCTTTCTGCAGACTGCAAAGGCCGAGGATCTAGAAGGAAGTGGGCTAGCCTGGGCTACACAGTGAGTCTGGTGTTTTTGAGACAGGGTCTCATTCTGTAGCCTCAGCTAGCCCTAACATCACAGAACTCTTGTTGCTGCCCTGGGCCAGACTGACAGGTGGGTGGTTGTGCAGTGACTGATTATTTTTCAGGAGTTTCGATCTGTTATTCAGGGACTCAGCTGAGGGGTCGCAGCTCATGAATGAAAGTGAGGCTGGGAAAGTGGGGGCGACCCTCCCCTAAAGACGGAGCAGCGAGACTGGGGCGTGGTCGGCGTGGAGCCCCGCCTAGAATACGTCAATGATACACCGGGGGTGTGGTCAGGGCGGAGCCCCGCCCCCGTGAGGGAGGGGCGAGTCCTTCCTGAAGCCACACCCCCGCCCGGGAAGGCGCCCCAGGCCCGCCTCCTGCTATCCCAGCACCGACCGGGGCAGCGTGGAGCTCCCCCTCCCCCGGCCCCCGCCCTCGCAAGCTCGCACTCCAGCCCCGGATCCCGCCGTGGCAGCCACCCCGTCCCCGTGGCTGTTGGCGGGAAGCGAGTCCGGCCATGACCAGCACATGGGCACCATCTGGGTTGGCAGCTGCCGGCTTGGGCGGGCCTGGCACCCCTCCCCCTGGCACGGCGCCTGCCCGCGCTTCGGGTTTCGCAGGCTGCC